GATCAACAACATCACACATTGTTACAATAGGTTGCTCCCCCTGTGTAAGCCAATTTTAGGAAATCCCTTTATAATAGAAAATTTGCAAAAAATTTAAATTAATTTTGAACGGTTTCAATGTTTTCTGCTTCCAGGAACAATTTTTGATTGTTATTTAATTAAATATCTAAATATCAGATTTTACTAAATATGATGCTTCAGAAACCATACAGAGGAAACCTACAATGAATTTGATTTAGTTTACGTCATCTATATTTAAGTTAAATCCAAAGTCTGTATTTGTAAACAAAGGGAGTCCAGTTTCTGTTGTATAGTGTGCACTCCGTACAGACCAATTTATTTATATACATATATATATATATATTTATTATTTTTTAATAATTGGGACATAAAATGTCGTCATCCAACTATTTGTGCTATATAACCTGTTGGGCCTTGGAATATCATTTTATTGAAAATCTAAAATTATTGTTAAAAGAAACCCAAATTATGCATGAAATAGGTTGGTTTAATAATTGACCAATGATCGTTTCACATAGACTCTATGCCTTCCACTTAACAAACGATGATTTTCCGTTATAATTATAAATCAAATGATGTTTTTATTCACCTAATTCATTATAAAGTTTATTTAACAGTTTAAAAAATTCGAAATTGAAATGAATAGTCTAGGGAACATACTGTATTAATGTACTCTACTGCATATAATTTGTGAACATTTACATGATTTTTACACTTTGAAGTTCCTTTTAGGCTGAAAGGGACTGAAAAAATTCATACCGAGATATTCTTTTAATTCCTTTCTATATATTCTATTCTCTAAGATTTAATCACTTTGAATAATCGGTTCCAAGAATTATTAACGGGACTGTCAACGTAATTTGAATAATCGGTTCCAAGAATTATTAACGGGACTGTCAACGTAATTTGAATAATCGGTTCCAAGAATTATTAAAGGGACTGTCAACGTAATTTGAATAATCGGTTCCAAGAATTATTAAAAGGACTGTCAAAGTAATTTGAAGTAAGACAGGTTGCCCAATTGAAAATTATCCATTTCCAAAAAAAGCCAGGATTTAATTCCATTAATTTTGTTCAGTTAAAGGGTTAAGGGGTACTGCTGCTGCAAAATAAGACATGTAACTCGTTGAATGAAGGGTCCCTTGAGATTAGATCGACAGTCCTTTTAGTCCAGTTTCTACACGAAGCTCGATTTTATGTCAATGTACAAATATTTACTTTTACATTTTATTTCATATAATATATTAACTATTAATGTACTGTAGAGTTATAAAGTGCGGAATGTTTTTTTGAGGGACAAGTACCGAGCAAAGATATACAGGACAATTTAGAGGTCACAGATTATACAGGGTTACCCACAAAGGATTAGAACGTAAAGACGACCTGAAACTCTTAAAATATGACGATTCAAAGGTTACATTTAGTCTACCGTCTTGCAGTCGTCTCTGAAGTCTTATCTTTTGTGGGGATACCTGTGTAGTGTGTAGGTTCTATACAATCCCTGTGTAGTGTGTAGGTTCTATACAATCCCTGTGTAGTGTGTAGGTTCTATACAATCCCTGTGTATATACAATCCCTGTGTAGTGTGTAGGTTCTATACAATCCCTGTGTAGTGTGTAGGTTCTATACAATCCCTGTGTAGTGTGTAGGTTCTATACAATTCCAAAACAGAGTTTTATCTCCAATTAGAAAATATTGAATTTCCACCCAATTAAACTTATCTTATTTTTTTAAGTTTTTGTTGGAAAATGCTTTTTTATATTTTAGTATGGTACAGTGTGACCCTTACAACTATGGAATTAAAAGACGGCTGTAAGTTTAAAATGTCCACTTAAGCATAATACTCAACGACTGTGCCTTGTACATACACATGGACCCGGTTTACCTTTAATAATATAATTCTCAATCTTCTTGTAAAAATATTAAATGCACATAAGACTGCTTAAATGTTGTCTTTAAATCCCACAGTTTGAAGGGTCCCACGTAATGTACAATCCGGTTTTGAAATAAAAAAGTCAGGGGTTCAAAAGTTAAATAAAACTAAAAACAAGCTAAACAATTAAATTAAACTAGCTGAAGGGCCCAGCGTTGCCTGTGGAAAAGAATGTTTTTTAAAAAAAAAAAATTGAAAAAAATTAGGAATTTTTTATAGCTTATTCCCGGCCACCCCTGAGTGTTCACACAACTTTTAAGCCCAATCGGTCCAGTCGTTTGGCCAGCTATAGGCAACATAAATATTTATGAACGTCTTGTTTTATTATACAGATAGTTCAAAATCAACAAAAAATTTTGTTTAAAACTTTTCAAAAGGAGGCATAGTTTTTTTTATTATAAAGATTTATTCACACACAAAGATATAAATACATATATAAATGGTGTAGTTAAAATTTGTTTAAATAAATTTTTTTTTTTTTTTTTTTTTTTTTTAANAGAATTATCCAAGGATTTTTTGGGTTTTGGCCCCATTTTCGCCACAAGATTGGCGAAAGCCAGATTATATATAGAATCTTCCAGAATTCTATGAATGTACTTTAAAGTTGTGTGAAAGCCTTGAATTGAGAAAGCAGTGTGTAAACTGCCTAAAACACTCTTACAGAGAGATGTTTACTACTCAACTGTCCTGAACTAACTATGTTCAATCTTATTCAAACCCTCAAACTATTAATAAAGGAATTGTGTATTTGTCACAAATTTAAAAACTTGAATTCCCGTATCTTTTCACTCTCATTGTGTAAACCTGTGATATTTCATACTTAGATTAATTTAATGCAGTATTCAATGTTTGAAATATCTAAGGTCTGCAACATTGTGTTGCAAAGATAAAAAAGGGATAAGAAAGGGATAAGAAAGATATAAGAAAGGGATAAGAAAGAGATAAGAAAGGGATAAGAAAACCGAGTTTGTGGCAAAGAACCAATTCCTTTCTTTTATTATTAATGCAATTAAAACAGATTTTTAGATAAGGATTATTCAGATTGGCGCCATTTTTAAAATAGTCATAATTTTTAGCAATGAAATGATAATTCACCTGGAAACAGGAAAAGTTCGTTTTTTTGCTCTCCTTATTCTTTGGTTCTATGAGTAGTATAGCACTAATAGAGACTGTAGGCCTAATCCTCCATTAGTATATCCTGTTTCCAGTTAATTTATCAAGTATTCTGTATCCTAAATCCTGTTTCCTGCATTATATCCAGCTGGCATATAATGTTGGACTTATTCTTTCGATTTTCGAATTTTTGAAAACCTCTTTGAACGTAAAATAGTGAGTATTTTCGCAGGATATTATATTGTCAAAATAAATTAAATCTTCCTGTAATAAAATTGCCTATGCTTATCAGATAAGTTTCAAAATAATTGTAATTCATCTAAATTTTTTTCCTGCATCGTCAGTAGGAAACATTAGTAGATTAATGATTTTTATATCTGATCATTAACAATAACCTTGTTAATCTAAACTTCCATTTAAGTTTATTAAAACTTAAACGATTTTGTAATGAGAATTTTTAAAAAGGTTCAATTTTTCTCCATATCTTTTTAATACAGACTTGGATCCGTAAAACTTTTATTTATTTATAAAGACTGCTAGATTCAAGTTATGACTTTAAATAGCCCAAAAAACAGAGGAAACAGTTTGTCTGTTTTGTTAAACATTCAACGTATCTTGACTGTTCTTGGACAATTCACAAAGTATCAATCGGCTCTTTGATGAAGAAGAGAGCTAAAAAGTTTCTCCACGCCTGCAGAGAAAGGTATAACTAGCAGAACTGATCATACGTCAATATATTCTGAATAAATAGATAACGATCAATGTTATTTTTCTACTTAACTATCACCACTTATTGAGACCTTGAAAAATAATCTTTAAGTTTATTAAAAGGTTGTGAAGATGAATATTTCAGAAAATAAGATTAACAATAATTAGATAAATCATGAATCTAGAATAGCATCATCAGAACACACCGAAAGCATAGTTGAGAGTGGTTTAGGCTTAATATTACAGGTAGTTTTGAACCCTTCCCAAGGTTAATTAAAGGTCTGAGGTGAGAAGGCATCTCAGGGGCGTACGAGGGGGGGGGCTCTTTCAATATTAGATCTGCTTGCATTTCCCTTCCTCAAGCAATCTACATTCTACATTGCATTGCATTTCACTCACCCAAACTAAAAGAATAAGAAAAAAGAAAAAATATATATTCTGATTCACAACAATACCCTTCAAAGCTTTGTCTGATCAAGTATTGCATTAAATATCCATGTTTCCCATTTGAAAACTGATTATTTTTACTTGTGGTTTCTCTACAAAAGTGACTTTTGCATTTCTTGCTTCAGAAACGATGTAGAAATGAAGGTTTCAAAGGTACATCGGACATACCACTCTATAAATTGAGGATCTTGAAATTACGCTTGTATTCCATTTAAGTATACTTACATCATATAAAAAATTACTTTAAGAAATATCTTTTGCCATTAACTAAAAAGTTTCATTGATAAAGCTTTAATCAATACTGCCTTCAGTGTAAATATATATTTGATATCATAATTTCTAATACCATATGTATATCGATCCTATGAAAATTAAGATTTTTTTAGAAACGTTTCCATCTCTATTTTTCATCCCTTGAAGCTTACAGCACAGTATTAAGAGAAAGTTTCTGATGAGTCTACTTACGAAAATTACATTAATATTTTATTAACACTTGTTATTTGGAAGTGTGTTTGTAATCGAATAGTTTACATAGTTAATAAAGGTATCAATATTTTTTCAAAAAAGGGGTTTTTAAGGGGAGGGGACACAATGTTGCCAAGGGGGGGGGGGGCACCAAATTTGTTTTGGGAAAATTTCGCCCCCCCCCCCTACACAAATGCTCTTGTACGCCTCTGGATATCTCGGATATCTATATCGCGTTCCGAGGCTTCTCTTTGAGGTACTTAAACCTCTCTCATTTATCAAACAACTCACAATAACTGGCCACTCTTCTAGATGTAATGGTCGTTTAGTTCATTTTATAATCTAACAACAATACTGCCCACTCTTCTAGCTGTAATGGTCGTATAGTTCATATTATATTCTAACAACAATACCTGGCCACCCTTCTAGATGTAATGGTCGTTTGGTTCATTTTATAATCTAACAACAATACTGCCCACTCTTCTAGCTGTAATGGTCGTATAGCTCATATTAAAATCTTGAAATTCTAACATGCCCCCCATAAATGACTTGGCCATGACATCAGAGAGTAATCTTTCAAGTCCCAGTCTCGTTATATTTAGAAAATTTAACTTTCTAGTTTTCTTCTACATGTTAATAATTCTCCTGATAGCCAACATTACCACATGTACAATCCGGGGCTACAGAGAGTCCCTCCCTTACCTCCGTGTCAACATCATCCTCATCCTCAACTACTATCTTGTGGAAATCTTCAATGCTTTTGTCAGTGTTGTGGTAAGTGTTGTTTCTGCCCTTGGAAGCATCTTCATTTTGGTTCTTAAAGCATTAGAATTATAATACAGGGTGTCCCAATGAAAATGACCTTTGAGAGACAACTTAAAGATTTTTAAAGATATGCCCGGACAATCGTCTTTGATGATTCTTGTTTCAAAATTTAATTTTAAAATTGGTTTCTTCAAGAAGCCTCTCATCTGTTTCTTGAGACACACTGTATTTCTAGGTCATTTAGATGAAACCTTGAAAAAAACAGAAAAGGTTAGGGGATTGACATTTTTACCAAATCACTCCAATACATTTTTTTTAATCTTTTTTATCTTTCTTAAGCTGTTTAAACTAGTAAGTGGAAAAATTGAAATGAAATAAAAGTTGAAATGCATATTTCATCATTTAATGTTTAAATGAAAAATATCAATCTTTAGTCTCACTTCTTAAAGAAAAATTTAAATAGCTTAAACTTTACAAAAAGTGAGTGGTACAGATCATATTTATTCACTAAAAGTATGAAAAAAGGCTTTTTGAATTTTTTTTAATCAAAAGAAATGAACTATCAAACCTTAAAATTTTGAAATTTTGGTCTTCTTTACAGTCTACTTTGACTTAAAGTCTATTTATTAATCCGAATGATACTGCAGTGTTGTGCGAGCATGGTGAGTTCCATCATGTCCCTGCCTTACTGGTTAGCTTTCTCACTAGAGCTAGTAGATGTTTACCTAGTATACCTCTCCTTAGGGTTGTCAACAACAATCTCCGTCTCCAGGCTTCTAATGATTATCAAGGTAAGCAAATGATGTTGTTTGATCTATATCCTACCCATAGATTTAGAACAACACAGATAGAACGATAGATGTCGTCTTTTCAAGATTTAGGGGTGTTTCGTACACAATAACCCTGAGGCAGAAGCTCAAAGGAGTTCCGCGCAGGCAGCGTTGAATTACAAGACTAAGAGAGAGCATGTGTTGCCTGCGCGGAACTCCTTTGGGCTTCTGCCTTAGGGTTTTTGTGTGCGAAAAGCCCCTAAATTAGGAAAAGACGACATCTAGTGTTCTATTTGTGTTGTTATTAATCTCTGATCCTACCATTGCATTTCTATCCAGATGAGCAAATACAATTCTTTAAAGCGTTTTGTAACAATTTGAAATGTAAATTTTTGTGCAGTTCACTCTGTCCTCCTATTGACCGTAACTCTGTCCTCCTATTGACCGTAACTCTGTCCTCCTATTGACTGTAATTCTGTCCATTTGTCTGTCCTTGTATTGAAAATTTATAAATCCAATCAATTAGTAGAAAATAAGCACTGCTCTTTATATATGGTCAACTCAAACAAATAAAGGGAGTGTTCGCGAAAAATGAAAGGGGGTATAGACTTACGTCGAAAAATAAATTGTTAAAAACGACTAATGCTGGAGAACGTAGCGTCCATACAAATTCAGAAAGTTGCAACATTCCACTCGGATCGTAAAAAAATCAATTTAATTCCTAATAAATCATTCATAGTTTACACACAGTATTTTTGATTTCGTTTTTTAAAATAACATTTCGCTGGCTTTGGATTTTCGAACATTTATGGTAATTATGAAAATTTTGTCTGATCATTATCAAAAATCCTCAAAACAGGAATAAATGTTTTCAAAAGTAACTATTAGATCATAAAAAATAAAAGAATATTATGAAATATCAACTATATACAAATGCGTCGAAATAATACCAATGACTATTGGTTGTAATATCTGAATGATTTGTTTGGAATAAAATGATTTTTTACGATCCGAGTTAAATGTTGCAAATTTCTGAATTTGTATGGACGCTACGTTCTTCATTATGAGTCGTTTTTAACAGTTTTCTCCTTAAAGCTGAAACAGATAGAAGTAAGATTAGCAGCGATCAAAAGCGCTTATTTTTAGCTGTAAGCTTATACCCCTTTCATTTTTCGCGAACACTCCCTTCAAGTGGAAAAATTTATTCTGATTTGCGCTGAGAACTAATATTTAAAGAACACAAATTAAAAAAAACATTTTCAGTGTGTGAGAAAGATTTAAAAACCCCATAAAATATTCGATTTTGTAGTTTGACAGAATGATTGAGCTTGAACCAGAACAGCTATCCCAGAGAATTCTTGGATTTCTCGTCATCATCTTCACAATCATCATGGGCTTCCCAGCATATGTAGCTTACACTCAAGGTTTAACTTCAACTGTTCTTAGAACTTGATTTTAAATATTATGGTTTATCTCAAAATTTACACAACGTGCCAATTTGTTAAGAAATAGGAACACAATTTAGCCCATCTTAGGAGTGCCAGAATGGTTCAATACGTTCTGCAAAAATGTCATGTAAAAAATAAATAAATAAATAAATAAATAAATAAATAAATAAAAATAAACATCCTAGAATTTAACAGTTTTCCTCTTGAACTGATCATGTCTCATGTGATAACCAATGGAGTTAAGTATTAAATTGATTTTCAAAAATATGTCTTTTTTATTTTCTTAAAAGCATTGATAAAATCCTAAAAAAGACCCTCAGTAATATCTTTTTAAGGGTAAAAATTTGGATAAATCAATTTCCTGATTCCAAAATGTGGGTTTTATCCCCCCCCCTAGTTGATTTTATGTATATGTTCATTGTTCAATGAGATAAACAATCTGTTAAATAAAAAAAACTGCTCTTCTATTTTAGAGGCTGTGTCCCCGCAAGTGGTGTACTACACCGTTTGGGAAGAACCCACAGCCCCTCATCCTTACCTCGCCTGCTTTACAATAGTGTGGACAATCTGTGTACTTACCACAGTGGGGCCGTACCTATTTGGAAAATATTATCTCAAGAAATACCACATCTTGAGGTAACCCTTTCAAACATTTAGGCTTGCAGTGCATTGCCACGTTCTCAAACTAGAATTAAAATGATCCTAAGATTTAACTAAGTCTTACAGTTGAAGTAATTTGTGGATGAATGGAATTCCATACAGTCGTCTCTGAAGTCTCGTCCTATGCTGGTATCTCTGTACGTTAGAAACAATGATTTATTTTTGATCTATTACTATTATTTATGATAATGATTTATGGCCATTATAACTTTTTTAATAAACAATTGAAATCAAATAGTTTAAAATTCTAAAAATTATCCAGTTTGAATAATGGGGTTTTCTTTAGAATGGAGTTCGAGAATAGAGATGAAGCAAAGAACATCATCAATATGAGATCTGTTATCAAAACCGTCCTCTTTACAAGCTTCTTCGTAGTTTCAATTGTAGTACTGCGTTTCTTTGCAGATCAAAGCATTTTCCCTTATGGCCTTATGATGGGGGTCCTAGTGTTCACTATGTATTTGGTAAAATTTTCCCAAAATCCCAAAATCAAAGAGTATTTCTTCCACAAGCTGACCCAAAAAAAGACAATTCTTCAGGAGAACTACTATACCATTCTGAGCTCTAGAATATTGAACCTTAGAGCAAACAAAGTTGGAGTCCTGAATTAGATATTTAAATTTGTTGATTAGTATTTAATTCTTGGAAATCTGCATAAATATTTGAACCAAATATCTTTTCTCCACTCTCTGTTTATTTTAATGTTCAAATAATTGTTAAGTTACATATATGTATATTCCAGATATTTCTCATGTCTGTATCTATAAATATAAAGTAGTAATCTCTATTTGTTTGTATGTTCTATCCGAACTAAGAAACCGATTTGCCTCAAATTGTAATTGGGGAACTCTTTAAATTGTCATTTATTGTATAACTTATCATGTTGTATACTTGCTATTATATTGGTTAACAGTGTTCAAAAATAAATGTTAAAATGATCTAAAGATGTCATTTATGCTCATCAAACTGATTAATTCTATTCACTCTAAATTACAAAATCCAAAAATTGGCAACAACAGTTGGTTGCATAGCTGCCAATTAAGCAACATAAAATTGGATATATTCAACAAAAATCACTTTTTTAGCAGTAATTCACTTTGTGTATCCTCTCTATAATAAACAATTCTTCTAAATCTAACACTCTCAGATCCGTGAAACAAAAACTCTTGTTGCAAAATTTTCGGTTTATTTAACTATCTTCAGACTTCAGGGCATATTCTAAAAACATAAAAATTAAGAAACTTGAAAAATAAATGTTTAAGAATTAAAAGATAAAAGTAACAATATATAAACAAAAACAAATAAACAGATTTCAAATGTGATACCTTGCTAGCTTTAACTCAACCAAAGATTTAATTAACTGAATATGAGTTTGAATTTTATGAATGGTGGTGGTCAGATCTAGGGTG